ACACCAACCCTAGAGAAATAGCTAAGATTTATTTCCCATTGAAGAGTGTCTTTATTTTAATAGGTATCTCTGAACCAACTAGAGATATCTAGGGGAAAGAAATACTTTCAGTCCTTCCCTTCATCAGGAATTGTGATGTATTAATAACAGTGTAATTTAATCGGATAATAGCAGCAGTCTCACTCTTAGTTTTAATTGGAATAGGTATATATTGCCAATATTTATGGGAAATTTATTTCTCTTAATTCATTTTACCAAAGGAATCTTCAATCAGTTGCAATTGGTGTCCTACATAAACTTACTTCTGTAATGCCCCCACCTAGTGATGAGGATCTTAGTGCTATCATAATTTACTGTTTATCTTGACGTGGCTATCTTTCAGTTTTGCTAGATAAATATTTTTTTAGGCATCTTGAATCTTCTCTTATTGCTCCTCCGTATCAAAAATTTGGCCATCAAACAGCTGGAGGCTTTTTTAGAACAGCTGTGAGCTGCATTACTCCATATGAGCTGCCTTATTTTGTGAAACTTTGTAATATTTCCCTGAATATGAAAAAAAAAAAGTTACAGGAACAGAGATATATCATTTTTTATGTCACATTAAGCATGTCTCATTTTGAATATTCATACTCTGCATGTTAAGCTGCAGACTTAACAACAAGAGGTGGTGGTGATCTTTGTTAAGAATATTCTTTCGAAATTTTCAACTGTGAATTTGTCTTTAACCACTTGGGAAGTTCTGAAAAACAGGGGATGCTAAATATAGGCAGTAAGGTCACTTTCTCCATTCTTGTCCGAGATAAGGATACAGGATTGCTGGTGGAAATTGCTGGTGGAAAGCTGTGCCATTGGCTTTGTAAGTGCTGACCTTTAATGGCCATGTTTCCCTTGAGCTGATACAAGGTAGCCAGTGCAACTTGTTCTTTCATTACTTGTCTCCTACCCAGTTGCTTTTTCTTGCTCACGAAAAGGTAAAGACCATAAAGGTACACTTTCTTAGGTAGAAGATAGACTTGGCTGCGGGGTCAGGACAGGAACACGAAATTTCGGTGTGACTATGTTGAATAAGCAAATAGTCCCTTAGTGGACAGCTAGAGTTTGTTTCTGGTGGTTTCAAATGCTTGAGATGCAGATTAAATAATGCTTTGACAATGACAGTTTTTAGGAGGTGCTTGGACATCTGACTGGAGGTTGTAGTTTGATTGTGAAACTGATGTGCATTTTGCAGCAGACCAAAATAGTTTATACTGCAACAATTTTGAGATCTAGGTACGTGAGGATGTGGCAGGTTTCAGAATAAATTGTGCCTTTATAGTGCAAGGTGTAGAAGAGGGATATGAGGAGTCGAATAGGGACTTAGGGGTGTGTGCAACTTTCTTTTATTCTTTCCAGATTCTGTTTTACACAAATCTAAAGTTTACATGAGATTAGGCATCCATGCATCTCTCTTTCCAACCAAAATGATTTAGAAAACTCTGTTTTATTAAATTAAGTTTTAAGTTCTTTTCTCTCTCCTCCGAAATATATTCCCCCAAATAAAAATATATTCACTGGACTTACGGGACTAAAATTCTGTACTGGTGGAAAGAGACTATTTAAATATTGACCGTAGCCTAAGGAGGTAAGCTCCACTAGAGGGCAGTTCAGAGCAGGAGTGTAATCCGTTGCCTTTTTTCAACTCCAGAGACCATCGCTGTAAAGGCATGGCCATTCTGTATTCAACAGGGATTATCTTTTTAACCTAAGGTATTTTCCGTTGTTTCTAAACTAGATAAGCCACTAACTACATTATACTAAACAGGAACCTATATTTAGGGTTAAACCTGTGTGCTTGCAAATCTAGACTTTTGCATGCTGAATTCAAGTGTGAGAGAATGCAGTGTATTTGGACAAACATATATTCTAGCTGGCATTTTTATATCTGTAAGAAATTGTTTTATGTATATTTTTATATATGTGTGTATATATATTACATTTATGGCGAGATCTGTGCACCGGGCTGAAAATTTTCTGAATGTATTTTGTCTTTCAAACTTTTTGTATTTGTGTTCATAGTTACTTCTGAAACATCTGCACTGGGTTGCTCCATTGACCTATGTAGTTTATTAGAATAATAATGTTCAGGCTGACTGTTGTATGGATAATGAGATCGTTCACTTTTAGTAATAGCTATTTGTCACTTAACTCATACAGTTAGATGGCTATCTCTTCTTCCAGGCATTTCATATGTCCGCAGTTCCTGGGGCAAACCATTTCCAATGACAACAGATTTTGTCACTACATTAGATTTAGTCAATTCAGATCAAAAGCAGAATTATGTATTTTTTCTTTTTAATCTGTTGTGACCTGTGAAAACTAATTAAACACTCCTTAAACCTCTAATTTTAACCAGAAAGCCATTAAATAATAGTTTTTATTTTGAAACCACGCTGTTATAATGTGTGAAAAAGACTTAAAAAATTGTATTTCAAAAATACCACTAGAAAAATGCATGACTTGTTGCCTGTCACCTTTCCTGAATATAGTGTTTGAGGGATGGGTGTTTGTCCTTAGCAGAAGAGCATTGCAAAGCTTATTATAGTTGTTCTGTCTACATGCTAAATGCTTAATTTTCAGATGTTTTTTGTTTATAAAAACGTTTGTGTGAGCAGACGTGTTGAGATGTCTTTTCTTTGTTAATAATTGAGGCCAGTACATAATTTCTCGCTTAATTCAATATGCTTTTCACTATTCAATTAAAGTTGTTTTGAGTATTTTTTTTTATTGAGCAAGATTTTGTTTTTGAAGTGGCCCCACACATTTAAATGGTTTTAATGCTACAGTTCATTCCAATGAGATAATGGTATATGCCTAGTTAGACCCCTTCAGAGCTTTTTTTTGGGGGGTGGATCCACCATATTTTATTTGCTAGTCCTGTTACCTTTGAAAATGAAAACACTGTTATTTTCTGAAAACATAAATGTGTAAATAAGAAAGGAAATGTCACTGGTTGCTCATTAGGGTCTCACAGTCAGCAGTTGTCAGAGACATGATTTCAAATACAAGTGGGTAAACTGGTGGGTTTTTTCTTCTCTCCTGTGAGTAGTGAATAAGATACAGATTTGACCATAAGAAAAATGTTGAATCCTTTCCTCTGAAATGTTTGTTTTGAGGCTACATTGACAACATCAAGGTGCTGCTTGTAGTACCCTGATATTCTCTGTGGCAGTAAGTGTTGAAGTTGAGTTCCTCCTCAGCTTTGCATGATGTGGATCTGCTGTCTCCAGAAAAATATAAGATAATTAAGACAGTTTGTGGTATAATGGGGAAATTGGTATGGCTGGTGGATACTGTTTTGCTTGGTATTATCCACTAAATATTAATTGGAGTAACAAAGTGTTTTAACTCCAGTTTGATGTGATCATTATTCTCTAACACTGTATATTAGAAGTAATTTATGAATTTTGTACGTAACAGCATTGGTCCAAGTGGAGGAACTGAGGAAGATTACCCCAATGAGTAATGATTTTTAATTGTGTGCTGTAATCAACAAAGCCAATGTTTAGACTGTCATATCTACCAAACAGTCTGTCTGTATATAGAAAATATTATTCTGGATGAATAATTAAAAGGAATTTAGGAGATTCAGGAAGTTTTATCTTGCAGTATATGTTGATATATTTTTATTTTAGTACTATCCTCGCAACTAAGAGCAATACAGAAACACTGCCTTAAAAGTGCCAGCCAAACTAGGAATCTTGTCTGGGACAAATATCTCCTAACTTTTTGCTCCTGTAATTAGGGGGATTCCTCCTAGAGATGTCTGAAAAGGGAAAAGAAAGCATGGGAATAGCTTCTGAATTTTGTGTTCTATTTGAGGAGAAGGAGGAAGAGAGACTCTTAAATCTGATCCTTAAGGGCTCTGGCGGTTTCTATTAGTTCTAAGAATAGCAACCAAACATGTTGCTCCGTCCCTGTTCCCTCAGTGTTGGTGATCACTGGTTCCATAACAGAAAACCAGACTTGGCTCTTTGACCACTTAAGGTCATTACATTGTACAAGCCCAGTGCATAACTGCCTCCAATTTCAGCCCTAAATTATTAGGTTGTACTGTGATTGACAGGCAGTAATCCCTGGCAGGGTAATAGGATTGATATGTGGATTTGTAACCTCTTCAGTTGATCCTGCAAGACCCCCTCAGCTGGAAGATTTTGTGGTGGTTGTTGGAAGAACATGATGAGTTAAAGCACAGAAAAGCAAGAGAGCATCCTTCTGGCTACAGCTGTTAATTCTATAGCTGAACAAAACTGTATTTATGTAGTTCCATAAAAGCTTTTTGTATTTTGCATTTCATTGTTGCTAACTCTTGGCAAATAGATTGTGTGTACTTGCTAAAGTGACAGCCTGGCCCTCTGTTGTAAACAATGTTTTATTATGAAGGTAGCCTGTTAAGATGTGGAATAAAGTAGAAGAAGTAAAGGGGGAACAATTCACGTGTCTGAACCACAGCGTTATGATTTCAGTATCATTTGTGGTATTCAAGATATCTTTATGGCAGAACGGAGATATAACACAGGCAACATGGGCCCTGTTGGCCAGCAGTCGGAAGCCTGTAGAGATACCATAGAGCCTCTGAAATGACATCTGAATCCCACCTCAGCTGACCCAGCAAATTAAGAAAGGAATTCTATTCAAAGTGAATGAAACATAGCAGGGCCAGGAATCTGTCTAGAATTAAGATCAAACACATCTTCAACCTGCACAGGATAAATCCAACCGTTTAGTCTTAAAAATGTGCAGGAATAAATAGAATACAATAGCATTCATTGGTTGTACTATCTGGACAACTTGTGAACAAAACCTGTTGAGAAATACTAGTTGGTTCCTTTCTGTACCAAAACATTAATATGTATTTATGTTGTACTTGCCCTTGATTGAATTACTAATTGTTCTTTTTCTGTTTTAGGTTATGGTCAGACTGGTCCAATGGTTCAGAGAGGTGGATATGACTCCATTGCAGCTGCTGTTTCTGGTCTCATGCATATCACAGGGCATGAGGTATGGTGCTCAACTTATAAATTTAACAGAATCTTTGTGCCATATACTAAAACTTGCTGGTGCATGGAGCACATTAGCCTATGCTAACACAACTGTTATGCATGCCTTCCCGAGTTCAACAAGAGATCTTAACTCTGTAAATCTAAGAAAATGATAGTGCTTTTGTCCTTTGGGTATATCACTCCAGGCTTGCAAAGCCAATACTTAAGAGACAGAACATGGAAGGAAAATGGTATCCTAAATCTCTAGTGAATAAATTGACAATTTATGCTAACCTGGTAATTGTAGTGTGTAGTCACTTCAAGAGCTTTAATAGCCATATTGTTCACACCTGGATGATGGAACCATACGTATGTGTGGGAAGACACACTCATACTTTGATGTTGATATGTCCTCCTAAAAAAAGAGGGAATTGAGAAGCCATACAGATAACTCTGACAAACTGTCTTTTCAATCATCCTTCCTGAAAATAAACAAAGAAATGCCATTTGTGGCTCTGGAGAAGCTTTATGTGCTGCTATTCCCACTGATATCCAAGATCTTTGGTGGTTGCAGTAGTGCAGGAAGCATTACAGAGGTAGTTTAGTATCTGGATTCCAGGGATACATAGAACGTGTGTCTTCACCTCAGAAAAATGCTGGTGAAATAGGCGTTTACTTAAGCTGGCTTGAATCAAGTACAGATGCAGGGAATGTGGTCTCCAAATGTCACTTCCCAAGTGAGGTAGTGTTACAAGTCTGTTCTGTGCATTATAAACACAAGATAGTCTTCTGTGGTGGTGCTCCTGATACTCTGGAAGCAGCACTGCAGATCTGCACTGCAGAGTATGAAACTTGCGTGCCCTAGATAAACAAGGAGTTCATCACGTTTCTGTACTTAGTGTCAGATATTCATGTTTGAGTAGGTTGTTGAAAGCTAACCGTGCGTGATCTGGACATAACTGTGCTGTTGGGTTGATATTCGGCCAATAGACTTGTTTTCTGCCGAAAACAATGGCAAACATCAGAACTCTGTGCTTATGGCAATTATTGTTACCAGAGTCTTCCTTTCTATAATAAAAAAAAAGTCAAGCATTGTTTGACTGAGGAAGGTGAAACATCTTGTACCTAGGGTCCTAAAACTGCCTGCCCGTTGCTGCCATCTTAATGATACATACTCACAGGATGGCCCAACTCAGAACACGAGAAGACATGAAGTTGAGTACAGTCCTTACAGATGCTACTCTTCAAATGTATAATGCCTGTGTACACTAAGCAATGACTGATCACAGTAACTGTAGTGTAAGTAATTTTTGCATTCTGACCCTGGTGTCTACAGAGTGAAGGTTAGTACTTCTGATACAATGCCAGAAACATCATGCACACCTCAAAATATACCAAACAAAATTGAATAGGAGTATAAACTGTTAGTAAGGGGTAAATGTTGCTAGTGCCACACGAATAAAGGAAATAAGTTGAAAAATTGAAGAGAAACAGGACTCTTGTGAAGCTTTTCAATGGTATGTGAATGACAGAAAATACAAGTGTTATACTGAATAATTGCATGTAAGTTGTATTATGAGAGTAATATTCCTCAGCGGCCATTATGAAGATGGATTTTATTAAAAGATTGTGTTAAGATCTACACTGGAAATCCAGATGTTCGCATCACCTCACCAGGACTTGAGGCAATGTAATCATAGGAATCATTTAATCATTGTTAGTAACAGTTCTGTCTATTCACGGGGGACTTTTAACAATTCATTCAAACTTAGTCATTCTCTTGCATGATTAAAATAAACATCCTAAAACTTGCTTCTTATTTTTCTTTATTTGAAGTTGGTCATACATTATTTCATCAGTTTCTCCAGACCATTTTCTGATGGATAGAGGGGCAGTTTTGTTTCAAATACTTAAGTGGTCAGTGACTCCAAAGAAGCAAATGTGCCTTTTGTTGTTGTAGTAAAAATTTACTCAGGTGGCTTTAAAATCTTATTGCATGCTTGTTTGAAAGTTACTTTAAAATAACAATGTATTAATAGTAAAATCTTCCATGTTCCATACATTTATGCTCATGTGACTGGGTTGTGTTTAAAATTCCACGAAACTAGTACTGAAAAAAGTAGAAAACCTTGTTTCAGTCAGTATGTAGAAAAGTGGCCAAAGTAAAGAAGAAAAAAGAATCTTGTTCACTTTTTCATGCTGTTTTCCGTTATTAAACCTTGACCAGACAGCAAGGAGTTAATATACTAAAAGTAACATGATCATTTGAAGCATACCCTAGTAGAGGTATGTTTGGGTTTTTTTTAAATTATTTTATTTTTCTTAAATAAAATTGAAAATGCCAGTCTTATGAACTGGAAGGAAAAAAAAAGAGAAGTTATAACAGATGATGTTGGTTTGGTATTGTATTGTGGTAGCAATAGATAATCAGCATAACATCATCAGTATAACAGTGCTCTGCGGAAACTTTCCTTCAGTAAACAAGCCATTGAATGTGCTTGCGGAATGGTCTTAGGGGTTGTCAGCTGATGCAGTAGACAAATTATAGTGAATTTGAGCAGCAGCAAATTAATCTACATACATCACTGAGGTGCTTAATTTTGAGGTATGTTAATACATATTTACAGCTCCTCATGAAGCATAGGATATTACAATTATGTGCTGTATCTGACATTTTAAAAATGGATAGAACTAATAGCAATATATATTCCATTTTAGCTTAGAGAAATTCCATATTGTGAATTTTAGTTTGTTCGAACCATCCAGCTACTGATTTAATATCTCAGAAAGCAGCTTACTGTTGCAGGTCACAATTTTATTGGCTGCTGAGGCTATCTCTCCAGTCAGTAAAGTCTTAATATTAAGCCATGAAATCAATTTATTACTAGCACAGGATTTTGAGCAAAACTTAAACTTTCATTAAGTCTGTCACATATGTAACATTTGTTTTCTTCTACTTTGTATTTCATGTAACACTATAATTTTTGAGGCAGTAAAGAGATCACAGTGGAAGAGATGGAAGTTTCTGACTAAAATGTGGGTATTTTATCCAAGTTATCTTTTCATTGAGGAGATAAAGACAGTATAATAAAAATGTGGAATGCAGCAAAGATACACAATAACATCACATTTAAACTGTGAAAAAAACAGTATAAAACTCTTGAAAGGGAGACAAGATCATATGCTTTATATGTCTGGTTTTTAAGATCTGAGAGAAGACTCCTGCGTAAGGAAATTCTGAATAGCTTTTTTTTTTTCTGGGAAATAGTTATTACTGAAATGACTTAATGCTGGTTACTTTCAAATGCTTCTGAGCAAAGTTCTGAACCTTAAAATTGAACTATAACTCGGCAGTATTGCAGTTAGGCACAAACACCTGCATTTGTGCTAGTGTTGTTTTTACTGATTGTACAAAACCAAACATATTCAGTATACAGTAGAATGCTGTCTTTAAACCATGTTTTTATGTGCGGAAACCTGCATATGGAATTCAAGGTCTTACAGATGTACTTGATTACCTCTGTATTAGAAATGTATGACACCTGTGAAATTTGGAATTCTAGTGTGGTTATGAAAATTTGCAAACAATAGTGGGAAATCTATTTTCTGTAAATCTGTACCACAAACCTATTTTGAGTGAAAGTAGGTACTTCAGGACACATTCAGTTTTTCTTTACATAAATTAAAATATGCTAAGAGGAGAGAGTTTACACTTATGACACTTTTATTGCCCTGGATGACATAATTTATAGGTATTTCCAGGTTAAACAACACATTCAAGTTTCATATTTGATGAACAGAAAGCTTTTACTTAATAGATTCAGATACAGCAGTGCCAGATGAATATACCTTTGAAAATTTCTGACTCATTAAGGCAATAACTTTAAATTAATTAAATAAAACCCAATTTGGATACAAATCCCCTTCCATCTCCAAGTGGATTATTGCACACAATTTTCGATATTCAGGGTATCTTTATAGTAGTGCATTTTTTCTTGCCGAAGAAACATTTTTGTTTTACTGGACATGAGACAGTAAGACATGATTGGGATCTACAATACCAGAGGGGCCATTCTTCAGCTTAAAACCAAACAAACTGCAACAAAATAGTACACGTGGTATATAGCTCAGAGCTGTTGAAAAATATAGCCGTTGCTGGTTCATATTAGCTTCAGCAGCTATTTCCCATCTGTAAAGGCTACTAGACTTAGAATACTTTTATTAAGCATGTCATTTCAGAACAATTTCCATTTTTAATGGATCATTTTTATATTACTGATGTAAATTTGGGAAGAGAAATTATGTCAAAGGGCAAAAAAACCAAAAAGACTTGGGAAAGGCAGCTTCCAAAGTGTGTTGTGGCTATCTTTGGGCTAGAATGTGTTGACAAATTGTAAGGAATTTAGCAAACAGCAAAAACAGGGAATAAAAGTGTAAACTGGTGCTAAGATTGAACAATAGCAAAGCGCAGTGACTGAGGAAAAGGTCTGCTCTACTGGAGTGAATCTTCATCTTTTCAAATGAGCAAAGGGCATGTCCTCGTGTTGCCCCTAATTAGGGTTCGACCCAACCCTTGAGCCTGGATGGCAGCTTTGTTTGCAGAAAGCATTTTCTCCTTGACTAGGGCTACGTTTTGTCCTTCTGTGAGAAGAGTAATATCACTTTTGTGTGGTGGTGGTGTTTGTTGCTTTTAAAATCATTTGCTTGAATAAAAGCTACTGTACAGATCCTTACATTGCACAGGGAATTAGTATAGAGTCATAGAATTGTCTAGGTTGGAAGGGACCTTTAAGATCATCAAGTCCAACCATCAACCTAACACCACCACTAAACCAATGTCCCTAAGCACCATGTCTACCCCTCTTTTAAATACCTCCAAGGGTGGCAACTGCCCCACCTTCCTGGGCAGCCTGTTCCAATGCTTAACAACCCTTTCTGTGAAGAACTTTTTCCTGATATCCATACTAAACCTACCCTGGTGTAACCTGAGACCACTTCTATCGCTTGTTACTAGCGAGC